TGAGATCAGGTCTCTCTTGTAAATGAGTCCTCGAGGCTCAATGGGATTTACCTGTATAAATAAAGGTTGATTGATAATCCAGGTAGAAAATTCTTAAATAGTTAGATCCAGGAAGTGATTACAAGAAGAAGTTAATAGATTGCCTGAAAAATTTGGAGCAGGACAAGGCTATTGACCGTATTCTGTACCACAGACTGTACCCAGGGGAGGCCACACCTATTTGGTATGGTTTACCTAAAATCCACAAACAAGGTGTACCTTTAAGACCTATTGTTAGTATGATTAACTCTGTCACTTACAATGTTTCCAAATATCTGGCGTCTGTACTCATCCCTTTAGTTGGCAGCTCAGAACACCACATACAGAACACCATGGACTTTGTGGACAAGGTGAGGGATGTCATCATGGAGACTGATGAAACAATGGTCTCTTTTGATGTCACATCACTCTTTACGTGCATTCCTGTTGATGATGCAGTAGAGGTGGTCAGTTTAAGATTAAAATCAGACACCACTCTGAGCAGCAGGACCACACTTTCCACAGAACAACTGTGTCAACTCTTGAAACTGTGCCTGCAGTCAACCTACTTCACATATGGGGAGCAATATTATAGGCAGAAACATGGGTGTGCTATGGGGTCTCCAGTTTCTCCTATTGTTGCCAACCTGTACATGGAGGAGGTAGAAAAGAGAGCCTTGACGTCCTTTTCAGGGACACCACCAAGTCATTGGTTCAGGTATGTTGACGACACCTGGGTTAAAATTAAATCTCAGGAAGTCCAACATTTTACTGACCACATCAACTCTGTGGATAAATACATCAAGTTCACACGAGAAGATGAAAAAAATGGCAGGTTGGCTTTCTTGGACTGTGAGGTCTCAGTCTCTGATAGAAGACATTTGCAAAATGAGGTGTACCACAAACCCACCCACACAGACCAGTATTTGCAGTTTGACTCCCATCACCCTTTGGAGCACAAGTTAGGAGTCATCAGGACTCATCAGGAACATCAGGAAGATGTTCACATCCTGGACAGAGAAGAACGATGGTTTGAGAGAGGAGTAAAGGAGGCCATCTTTGTGAAAAGATATCGTCCATCATTAAACAGGGGTGGAGGCCTCCAGGTTCAACTGTCCCCCTCTTACAATGCTGTGATTGCTAGTATCACTCAGCCCTCTGTGAACAGTAAACAGCCATCAGGTGCTAATGATCCATTGTTAGGCTGATGGTCCTTCTTGAGCATGTGATCAGCTGGTTTTGGTTGTCAGCAGCAAACTGGTTGATCCACTCTGTGAAAGTGCTATTTAAGAGACTGAGCTGAATACAGCACCTCAGACTGAAGAAGTCCTCAGGATGAGAGACGAAACGTTTCTTTCTTTTTGTTGTTGTTTTGCTTTGTTTTGTTTTTTTGAATGTCCAGAGGACCAGATTGAACTTTTTTAGATTTGTAGTAAAATATTGTGATGAACTGTATCAAATGCAGCACTGAGGTCTAACAGGACCAGTAGAGACACAAGTCCATTGTCTGAGGCCATGAGAATATCATTAGTGACTTTTACTAGTGCTGTTTCTGTGCTATGATGAGCTCTAAACCCTGACTGAAACTCTTCAAACAGATTAATTTTTGAAGATGATCACGCAAATGACAGAAATCCTCCATTATTATAACTTTACATATTATTATTTAGGAAAAGCTTTTGGTTTACACACACAACAGAAAGCTTTTTCTTTATAAAACATGTTTTCAAAAACTGCTGTGTTTCCATGTTTTTTGGGGGTTCTACTTACAAAAAAAATCGAAATCAGCAGAAGACATTTTTTTCTGCCTCCATGGAAACGGCTCAGGGAACTATGTCAGTGTTTTAATGTCTCCTCTGCCAGCTGGACTGCTCTGTCCTGTCTCTGGTCCTCTCCGCCCGTGGTTTTCCTGTTCAATATACAGCCTCTGTGGATTTTCAGCTCAGAAAAACATTTGATTTACAACTTTATCCCAGAAACAGAGGCTCCTTAAATGTGGTGTTTAACAATGTAAAGATATTTCACAGTGATCAGATGCGTAGGTCAAACCTGACCACAATAATATTGTTCATTCTTTTTGAAATTGTACTTACTTTTTGTTCGGGTCTTTTTTTTGGGTCCCCCCCCCCCCTTTTTTTTTTTTTTTCTAATTCCATCATCATCGGTCTCTTTTTCCTGCTTTGGGTCTTAGTGGTTTTCCCCGTCTTCCTAATGTTTTTCCTCCTACATGACATCTGTGAGTGTCCCAGCACAAAGAGAGCAGATGATTACATTACCAGGCTGGTTTAAGTGGTTGGTCTTCACATTTATTTTGACAGTTGAGTGACAGACGCGTGGCAAAACACCAAAGACTTTATAATCTAACATGCTGTGGTTTGGAGGGAAAGACCAAATCAAAGATATAAAAACCCAAACTTGGCCAGCAAAGCAGCTCTCTCACTCTCACATGAAAGACATGTTGTCAGGTTCACTTAGAGAACAGTCCTTTCATTAACAAATACTATTTTTATTTTTAAATGGATCTGATTTGATTCATTCTGGCGGTCATGAAACTAAATAATGAAGCAGTGTAAGCATGTTTAACAAAAGCAGGAAACACATAAATGTCAGAACTGAATCAGCCTTCACCAATTTCTCTTCAACCTAATTCTAATGAAACACCTCTAATGATGCTTTTTGTTGAAAACAGTTATATCTGTACTAAAGCACACTGAGGAGTACGATACTGTTCAAGTAAATTAAATAAATAAAATCTCTTGAAAAAAATCAGCAAGTAAATAGTTCACACACAGTGTCTGCAGTATATATATGCCCCTCATCCATCGATCCGCCCATCTCTCTCTCTTTAGATTATACATACATACATACATACATACATACATACATACATATATATATATATATATATATATATATATATATATGT